CCCATGTGGGGAATCGAACCCGGGTCTTCGGCGTGACGAGCGGACGCTTTAACCACAAGGCTACCCCACCGCCCCTCTGCTGAAAGGACACATTGCTATCTGAAAATATACATCTGAACATGCCCTTTGACAATACAGCTAGAAAGCCTTAGCGCGATATGCCAGCGCGAGAAAGTGAGAAAGCGATATAGCGAGAAATCAAGACAACGAGAAAGCGATAGAGCCAGAAAGCAAGACAACGAGAAAGCGATAGAGCCAGAAAGCAAGACAACGAGAAAGCGATAGAGCCAGAAAGCAAGACAACGAGAAAGCGATAGAGCCAGAAAGCAAGACAAAGAGTAAGCAATAGAGCGAGAAAGCAACACAATGAGTAAGCAATAGAGCGAGAAAGCAAGACAATGAGAGCGTTATGGAGGGAAAGCCATGTTTCCCATTAGTGCGACTTATTGCATGTGAATCGTTTTGACATGAGTTCACCAAATTATGAACATGACTCATACGGGAGATACTTACATATATTGAACGGCCTTCAAGTCCTCCTCTGGAAAAATGAAATGTTACACACTGAAAATGTGTATTGATCAAACCCTACGCGGCCACGTACAGCTGTAACCTTTGAGTTACGGTGGCAGTCACAAATCGCAAACTGAAAGCTTTACAAAGCAACATTCGGCAGAAACTATCTCAATAATATACTTATAACATGTATACTATCCCAAAAAAGAAACGCATAGGCATTTTGTATTTTTTCAAATCTATTAATTACCTATCGTGTTCAAACAATCGTCAAAATATGTAACAAAAGTGTTGATAACATGATTTTACACAATTGCACTAGTAAATAATCGACTTGACCTGAAAATGTTGATTTCGATGAGATTTCTTACAAGGATTAAACAGGTATCGCCACAACGCAACAGAAATCACCTTCCAGTTGAAATTGTGCAGCAAAGAGCATGCACTGTCTGGCTATACAAATCCAGATTACTTTCGGAAATTGGCAATTGTTTTGAAGGAGTTTCAAGATCAAATCACTACGCCACGTCTTGACGCTGTGACACGAAACATAGCCATTGAAAGAATGCACGCTGGAGATTATCAATCTTCTGTTGCCAGGCGTCTGAATGTTAGTCTGAGCACGACATCACGGCTTGCAGTTCGTTACAACCAAACAGGTATAACAAATGACTGTCCCCGTACAGAAAGACCTCGAGTAATTTATGCAGCCCAAGATCGGTACATCCGGGTACTACATTTGCGTGATCGTACTGCCACCGGTGAGAGCACAGCAGCCAGGATGCCTGGAGTTCGGAGGATATCCGATCAAACGGTACGGAACAGGTTGAGAGAGATTGGACTGAGAGTCAGGAGACCCGACGTCGGGACCGTGCTACGTCGTCGCTATCGCGCTCAACGTCTCCGTTAACTGCAATTCTCCACTTGGTTGTGTAGACAATTCCTTCTTCTAAACTGATGTAAAAATTCATGTACTAAACTATATTTGTGGACGAGTTATACATGTTGGAAAATACAACATTTTCGCAACAGATTTCTGGGTTATGCGTTTCTTTTTTGAAACAGTATATTTACGGTTATGTATGATAAGAGATAAACATGTTACAGAGAAACGGTTGTTATTTACGTAGAAATATGACGTTGTCACTTGAATTCATCCTAAATGTCTCATAGTCAGATGCGTCTAACAACGGTTATAACAAACTAAACTTACTGATCCCTTTGAGTTTATTACAACAGTAGGTTACTGTAGGTAGCTTACACACGCCTCATCAGATGCTCCACGTGATTTACTTTACATGTAGTTTGTTCAATACGTTTTTTATGTCAGGTTGGTCCTACAGAAGTTCTTCCGCTGACGAACTCAAACGGACAACTACTTATGGTTCGTTATAACTGTTGTTCGTTTTCCACATTTCGGCTTTAACATGAAGCACGTAGCCGAGACAAAACCCTTGTATCCGTCAGTTCCGTATACACAGGGTGGACACGCTGTCCACACGAAATGTGGAGTTGCCCCAAAAGCAACTCCATTTCCTCGCTGGACAGTGAAAGAAGAACACGTGGCGCTAGAGTTATGGTAAGTTTTCCTCGCATTTTCATTATTTTGCAAGTATATCAGGTTTTGTATATCGGGTTTTGCCATTTGGCAGAAGGATCTAGAAAGTTACAGATCTTTCTGTAATAGCTTGACATCATCTATATTTATTACAATTGCACGTTAGGCGAGGGCACCCTCCTGAGTTTCGAAAGAAAATGATCGTTTCAACATGAAATATGACATCCTCATCAGCAGACACACCTTTTTTTGCTGTCAGTTCTTAGATAGAGTGATTTTAGGTCTTCATTCACAGTTTAGGCTTTTTTCAGCCGACCTGAATTTTCTCGTGTGAAAGTGAAAAGAGACACTACAGACAACTATGGTTACACTAAATTCCAATTCCTTGTTTCATAAGAAATTGGTATTTACAAATAAACTTTAATAAAATCGTATTTCTATACTTTATGGCTAGGTGTAGTCAGCATGACGTTAACTAAGATGTCACAGACTTCCCCTGTTTCATGAGGTCGTAAAAAATGTTTCATAGTACATCTGGCTCACTGGTTACACCTGATGTGTGTTCTTTGCGCGTATGAAGTGTGTTTTGGTAACGCACAGTGTGATTGATAGAATATCAAGTCCGTCCAGGACCGCCAAACATTCTCGCAGCCGAACCTCGTTTTGAGATTTCCACGATTTCCAGATTTCCGTTTGTCAGAGCACATTATACGACAGAGTACGGATTGCAATATACAAGTAATTGGATGTATCAAATAATCCTGATTAATATTTATATATCCAGTTGAATGAGTTGGTCTCAAAATTCTGAACGGGTTATTGTACTAAGTTGCGCAATTTGACGGCCCAGTCAGCAGGAAGAGAGACTATTGTGAAATCAATGTTTTCACTCGGTCTCCATCCTGTTTCTTCTTCTTTTTTTCGGTGTGCTTGACAACAAACGACTGGTATTGAAGGATATAGGCGACTCGTCCACTGGTTCAACTTCGAAATTCATTTCCTGAACCTTAAACATATCAAACTAATGCATACATACTCATGCCAATAATGGTTGTCACACTCCCCTCCCCACCCAACCCCAAAACTCACCTCCCACCCACATCCCTCTCCAATTAAAAAATTGAAGGGGTGACAACCATTATTGGCATGAGTATATATGCATTAGTTTGATATGTTTAAGGTGTGAAAGTGTATTTTGAAGTGTCAAAAGTATACAAACTTATTTTATAAGAAAGAAAAATTGACACATTCCTGAATGCCAGAATGGTGTTTATCAATCAACTTCAACACAGTTTTGACTGTCTTCGTAAGGAGGTCTGCAGATAAGATCGGCTAGTTCATTTTCTCATTAAATTGTGTCATTTGGATTTCTCATTTGTATTTTTTACAACTGCCATTAACTTGTCCATATCGCTGTTGGTGCCGCCAGTGGGAACAAAGTACGTCATTATTGTATTTGATTTTGCACGTTCAACATTGGTTAGATGTCCCTTGGTTTTCAGATGCTTAGTGATGTGCTTTACCCGAATGTGCAATACTAATATCTGAATGATAGTATGAACAATGTACATACTTTGGAATAACCTGGTTTTGGTTATTTCCTGGGGTAGGTGTATATTTGTATATTTGTTAATACACTTCTGACCGTACATGATTTTGGAAAATGTTGGAATCCTATGGCCCATATGAGACCGATGAACGCTCAGCCATGATGCCACTGGTTGGGAAGCAATCGGATAAGATGGGTAGAAACCGGGAAAATACGAGGGAACCCGACGATGAAGACCGGAAAAATCAGCCAATCAGATTACTTTGCATTTTCACGACATCTACTTAAGTACTTGATCTATATCTATCCTCAATGAACATGCATTACGGTCACGATTTTGAATAAAATAACTTTCGGTTGTACGCGCGAAAGTGACTTGAAAGGGAGGTCACTCTTGTTTAGTTTCGTTTTCATGTCGTGTTTACGCTGGCAAGTAAAGCTGAAGTGAAACGAATGCATGTTTTTTTTAAACATTATCAGTGGCGGATCCAGAGGAGGGGGGGGGGTCAGGGTTCGACCCCCCCTTTGAAAATGACTTAAGATCACAGTGAAGATTTTTTTTTGCGATGGATCCTTTCAAAATTCCTGGATCCGCCAATGAAATTAATATGTGTTTTTATAGGTTTGCATCCAATAATCCCAGACAGGGTACAAACTGCAATGAGGGTGTACAATCGTACTTGAAGATAAAAAATCGTAATTAATACGCCAGGTAGGCAGTAACAAAACATTCTTCTTCACAACAAATATCTCTAGAATAACGTTTGGTGACCTGACAGTTAAAACTATAAACTGTCAACTCCTGGACAGTAAAATCACAACGCAATGGACAGTTTGTTTGCTAAACGTGAACAGCTCCATATAAAATGTACAGATTGATTTTTCGATGATAATTGAAAAGATACTGACGCATTACAGCCTAAACTGCGAATGAAGGCTTAAAATCACTAGATCTAAGAATTGACAGCAAAAAAGGTGTGTCTGTTGATGAGGATGTCATATTTCGTTTTGAAACGATCATTTTTCCGCAATCTTGTTTCGATACTCAGGAGGGTGCCCACGCTTAACGCGCAATTGCAATAAATATAGAGGGTGTCAAGCAATTACAGAAAGATCTGTAACTTTCTAGATCCTTCTGCCAAATGGCAAAATCTGACATACTTGCAAAATAATGAAAATGCGAGGACACACCTACATTTACTCTTGCGCCACGTGTCCGTCTTTCACTGTCCAGCGAGGAAATGGAGTTGCATTTGGGGCAACTCCACATTTCGTGTGGACAGCGTTTCCACCCTGTGGTATAGACGAGGTTGTAATACACGTAGTCTGTCTCTCCCAATGACTGGTGACTATGGTGGCAGCAATTTGATATTCTACCATGGCTACGTGAAATGCTCGAATTTGATTGGTCAATCAAGAAAATCAGAGGTATCAATTTGGATTGAAAATGCGTCTGATTTCACGGCGCTTCACTGCGCACGTATACAACACTGCCGCACTACTTCAGCTTGGCCACCAACATGACTAATATCAACACAACAGACGTGATGGAAATGCTGATGAAACATTTATTATAAACGAGAAAAAGACAATTATACGATTTCTCCTCCACAATTATTAGGGAACCTCACTATCATAATTATTACCTTCTATTATAAAAGTATTCAAACTCAATTACAATACACAGCCCCAAACATAAACAAACAATATCTAACATATAAATCAGAAACCTTGTAAAAATATATCCCTATCTATCCCTATTTGTGCGGCAAAACGTTCGTAAACATTTACCTACCCGGTAAATGGTATATTTGTTTCCGTTTAGAATGAGAAATTGGCAAGATAACGGTCAGGCGAAACACAAAATTTAGGCCACTCATACTCCATCTGACATGTCCTGTTGCATCGTTCAAAATGTCAAAAATTGAACCACGAGAATTCCACTCTCTGCCACCTTCCCCGCAAGGCTGTCACTGCTATGTTCGTACACTTGAAAAGCTTGGCCACAATCCAGTCCCAAATGATGAGAACAATGTTCCAAGGAATCCCAAGTTAGTCGCATGTACACAAAGCAGCACTGCCACTGTTTCGTCGCATGCCGGGGTGGAGGCACGTACGTGAAATCATGATCGACACTCGCCTGAAATAAAATCAGCAGTCTTTGATGAGTTACAGGTCATAGGTCGATCAGAAAAGGATGTATTCTTCGATTCTGCAGGGTTCAGGTTTGATAGTCCGTCAAGTATTTTCCACTGTCACTTCGAATTTCAACCTTTCGCAAAATGTAAACACTGATCTCGTCCGCCATTTCAAACTGTTGCGTAACTGTCTACTTCAAGAAAATATGTAGGTCAGACGATTCCATTTATAGTGTGGCCAGGGGGTACAGTAACATGGCACACAAAACAATAGGATGGTTTCGGTCGTGTGGATTTATGATTATAGGAAACAAGCTCTTAGGTGTTACATTATTGCATTGAATAAACAGTAGTTTGTTTTCTTTGGACAGAATATTTTTATGTTGCAATGTTAACAAAAATACGAACGGCACCTACCACTCTCTTCACAGACGAGCTCAGTTCGCCTCTCGTCCCATGCCGGATTACGCAGTGTCTTCCGCAGGACGAGGAAGTTCGATGTTAAATCGGTTATGGTAGAATGGAGATAAACATACTGTGTTTGGAAATTAGAAGAATGTTAGACCGAATTGATAGTCTCTAAATTAATCATTTGAAACCTAACGCTACGCGTTCGGCTTCAAATGAAATTTAGAGACTACCAATTCGGTCTAACATTCATCTAATTTCCAAACACAGTACGTTTATCTCCTAAATGTACAAAGAGTGAATGTCTTACGTTTCTGTTGTTCATGTACATACTATTGTTTGTGGTGGTGTGTGGTCCTGCGCGTAGAGCCCAGGTCACAAATCAGTTGAAGGTAAGCAACGAGTCTTTGGATGGGTGACCGTGTTTGGCAGCTTTCAAAACTCCTGAGCAAGTGAATTTGTTCAAGATTGCCTCTGTTCGCCCAGCAGAAAATGGGTACCCGGTGAGATAAGTCTTGTGACTATTAACCTTCTTGCGCCTCACAGGCAGCTTGGGTTATCCAGGGTAATAATAATCAGATTCTGATTACAGCGTCCAGTGAGCAACTAGTCAGATGGATACTTGGCGCTATATAAATAAATTATCATTATTGTCATCATGCCACAAAACCTTGTTTCCTTGTACATCTTTCAGTTGACGTCATCCTTCCATTAACCATGCTGTAATGATAGTTTGACAGCATCCTGTTTTCAGCTTGATCAGACGAGAGGTCAACAGCATCTTAATGTTGGGCGGCGGCATGTTTTCATCTTTTATTAGACGAACGTTTGACTGCATCTTTTCATTTGCTTATAATAACAAATAGTTTGACTGTTGAATAGTTGTTACTACAGTGAGGTACCAAGGTGCGTTACTATGCGCGCCTCGTCTATCCATGGGTATTAGCAATTTCAGTTCATGTTGATGAAAATGTTTAGTTATTCAATTTCATCAGTTTTGTTAAGTTAAAGAAATTACAGCTGTATTTTAGATCATCCTGAAATACAATATAATGTCACAAACATGAATGTATTATTTTCCATACCTCATTTCTGATTCCTCCGCCTATAACCAGACAACGAGGAATGATAGTAAAATATAGAGTTGTCTACATACCGCCCGTTTATAGTGTCACAAACTCCACAATTCAATGAATGTGATCTATATGTAATACATTGCAGTGCAAAGGAAACGCAAGTTCCAATTTGTTTGAAACATTGTAAGCATGACTAGCCTGTCCATGAGTCGGAACGAGTAGGGCATTTCACCATTATAACAAGCCTTGAACAACGAGGCCGTTATACAGAGTCAGTTGTTGAACGTTGTTGTGACCTACCTAGAGTCACAACACATAGGTCCCTCAAGGGGCAACAAGCACGTCAGCTGTTGGGGCCAAGCAGAGCAGGATCAGCAGACGCTGTCAGACAACGTGTCAGTGGCGTCAGTTATCACTTTGAATGAGTCCCGCTACCATCTTTCTCCTGTTATCCCCATGTTTGTTGTACAGCTTCAACTTCAGTTGTTGCACCAGGACAACGCACAGTGAGATACAGGTGGGTTGTCGATGGCTCAACATTTACAAAAGCATACATTACCACATTTGTATGTAAAATCAAGACAATATATAAAAACTAACGCAATATGAAAATACTTAACGCAACACGTAAAAAATAACGCAATATGTAAAAAAATATTGCAATATGTAAAAAAATATTGCAATATGTAAAAGGTGTCTTTAACGCAAAAAGTACAACACCTAACGCAAAATTTAAAAACAATTTTTAACCTGATATGTAAAAAATTAACGTAATATGTAAAATCCAGTTTTAGGTTTGAATATTAGGGTGGCAATCGAAATTCATTTTTCACAAAATTGGCAAAAAATGACTTTATCTACAAAAACTAAGATATCGCAATGTTTCTGACAAAATATACTTCATATTACTTTTTATTTACAAAATTTTACCTCGCTGTTCAGTATGCATGAAAGCATAGTCGATAAACATACAATTTACTTGTATATAGAGCTCTTTTAATCGATCTTATATTCTATTTTCGAAAGGTTTAAAGGAATATTTTTTATTCTTCAAACTCTGTTTTCTTAAATGTTATTTTGGGTTGTCTTCAATATGTCTTATTCAAGAAAGTTTTACCTTTTGGGTTTGACTCCCTCAAACTGTCCAGTTCGTAGTTGATAACCTGTGACCACTTTCTCTCTCACTGTCCCATTGTTCTGGACCCCTTTCTCTCTCACTGTCCCATTGTTCTTGACCACTTTCTCTCTCACTGTCCCATTGTTCTGGACCCCTTTCTCTCTCACTGTCCCATTGTTCTGGACCCTTTCTCTCTCACTGTCCCATTGTTCTGGATCCCTTTCTCTCTCACTGTCCCATTGTTCTGGACCACTTTCTCTCTCACTGTCCCATTGTCCTGGACCACTTTCTCTCTCACTGTCCCATTGTTCTGGACCACTTTCTCTCTCACTGTCCCATTGTTCTGGACCCCTTTCTCTCTCACTGTCCCATTGTTCTGGACCACTTTCTCTCTCACTGTACCATTGTTCTGGACCACTTTCTCTCTCACTGTCCCATTGTTCTTGACCACTTTCTCTCTCACTGTCCCATTGTTCTGGATCCCTTTCTCTCTCACTGTCCCATTGTTCTGGACCACTTCTCTCTCCCTGTCCCATTGTTCTGGATCCCTTTTTCTCTCACTCTTCCATTGTTCTGGACCACTTTCTCTCTCACTGTCCCATTGTTCTGCATCCCTTTCTCTCTCACTGTCCCATTGTTCTGGACTACTTTCTCTCTCACTGTCCCATTGTTCTGGACCACTTTCTCTCTCACTGTCCCATTGTTCTGGACCCCTTTCTCTCTCACTGTCCCATTGTTCTGGACCACTTTCTCTCTCACTGTCCCATTTTTCTGGACTACTTTTCTCTCTCACTGTCCCATTGTTCTGGACCACTTTCTCTCTCACTGTCCCATTGTTCTGGACCCCTTTCTCTCTCACTGTCCCATTGTTCTGGACCACTTTCTCTCTCACTGTCCCATTGTTCTGGACCACTTTCTCTCTCACTGTCCCATTGCCCTGGACCCCTTTCTCTCTCACTGTTTCATTTTTCTGGACCACTTTCTCTCACTGTCCCATTGCCCTGACCCCGAAATTTTCTCTCTCACTGTCCCATTGTTCTGACCCTTTCTCTCTCACTGTCCCATTGTTCTGGACCCTTTTTCTCTCACTGTCCCATTGTTCTGACCCTTTCTCTCTCACTGTCCCATTGTTCTGGACCACTTTCTCTCTCACTGTCCCATTGTTCTGGACCCCTTTCTCTCTCACTGTCCCATTGTTCTGGACCCCTTTCTCTCTCACTGTCCCATTGTTCTGGACCACTTTCTCTCTCACTGTCCCATTGTTCTGGACCCCTTTCTCTCTCACTGTCCTTTTGTTCTGGACTACTTTCTCTCTCACTGTCCCATTGTTCTGGACCACTTTCTCTCTCACTGTTCCATTGCCCTGGATCCCTTTCTCTCTCACTGTTCCATTGTTCTGGACCACTTTCTCTCTCACTGTCCCATTGCTCTGGACAACCTTCTTGTCATACTGTCGACCTGGACTGTGCTACCTGTTCTACTGTCAAATTGATCAGTTGGATTTAAGCTCATGTAGTGTTCCCCTTCATTTTCAGGAAAGTAGCCAATATACATCACTAGACTCTGTCTGCGTAGAATCTCTTTCAGGAGAACTTGTGTCACTGTTCCGTTTACATCAAAGATTCTGACCTCTATCATAAGATTCTTGATACAACCGTGAGAACCAGTTGATCACCATATGACCCCTGAGTGAGTGAATGCGTTAATAAGATTAAACATCCTTTCAGCAATTTTTCAGCTATTCAGGACGTTAATTACACTGAAATGTCTCCATTTAGATAAGCATTAGAATAACTGATTCCATTTGTACTAATGTTTGATACCACGTCAATTCATCACATGAATGTCACAGAATACACAGCGAATGGCAATCTATCTATGTGATTAAATGGTGAATTACGATTATAATTTCTTAGGTGTGGTTTGTGATTTTGCTGTTCTATGCAGGTATCATTGATCTTGGCATTGACATTTTTTATGGATTCAGTTTTTGAAACCTTGAACAGCGTGTCCTGTTACCCATTACCATCAATATTCCATATAACTTAAATTACATCAAATACAATAACTTTATTCCATTCAGTTTGAGCGATCAACATCGGGATCCAGTCTCAACTGTCTCTGGTATTACTCGATGTCATTGGCAGCAATATTAGCTGTGACTTAATTGAAGGAAATCAGATATAATTGGAATGGAAATACCCGAATAGCTGCGATGCATCTTGCATGTCAATTATACCTACATTTTTTGTAAACTGCAAAGATATTTGTGTCCAGCGACACATTTATACTTAAACAGTAACTTTCCCATTATATTATTGGTTGGATGGCCGTGTGTGTCATATTATTATTGGTTGGATGTCCGTGTGTGTCATAATATTATTGGTTGGATGGCCGTGTGTGTCACAATATTATTGGTTGGATGGCCGTGTGTGTCATATTATTATAGGTTGGATGGCCGTGTGTGTCATAATGTTATTGGTTGGATAGCCTTGTGTGTCATAATATTAGTGGTTGGATGTCAGTGTGTGGCATAATACTATTGGTTGGATGGCCGTGTGTGGCATAATATTATTGATTGGATGGCCGTGTGTGTCATAATGTCATTGGTTGGATGTCAGTGTGTGTCATAATATTATTTGTTGGATGGCCATGTGTGTCATAGTATTATTGGTTGGATGTCAGTGTGTGTCATAATATCATTGGTTGGATGTCAGTGTGTGTCATAATATTATTGTATGGATGGCCATGTGTGTCATAATATTATTGTTAGGATGGCCGTGTGTGTCATAATAATATTGGTTGGATGGCCATGTGTGTCATAATATCATTGGTTGGATGGTCATGTGGGCTATGTGTGTAATAATATCATTGGTTAGATGGCCATGTGTGTCATAATATTATTGTTAGGATGGCCGTGTGTGTCATAATATTATTGTTAGGATGGCCGTGTGTGTCATAATATTATTGGTTGGATGTCAGTGTGTGTCATAATATCATTGGTTGGATGTCAGTGCGTGTCATAATATTATTGGATGGATGGCCGTGTGTGTCACAATGTTATTGGTTGGATGGCCGTGTGTCATAATATTATTGGTTGGATGGCCATGTGTGTCTTGATATTATTGATTGGATGGCCGTGTGTGTCATAATATTATTGGTTGGATGTCAGTGTGTGGCATAGTATTATTGGTTGGATGGCCGTGTGTGTCATAATATTATTGGTTGGATGGCCGTGTGTATCATAATATTATTGATTGGATGTCCGTGTGTGTCATAATATTATTGGTTGGATGTCAGTGTGTGGCATAGTATTATTGGTTGGATGGCCGTGTGTGTCATAATATTATTGGTTGGATGGCCGTGTGTATCATAATATTATTGATTGGATGGCCGTGTGTGTCATAATAGTATTGGTTGGATGGCAGTGTGTTTCATAATAGTATTGGTTGGGATGGCAGTGTGTGTCATAATATTATTGGTTGGATGGCCGTGTGTCATAATATTATTGGTTGGATCTCAGTGTTTGTCATAATATTATTGTATGGATGGCCATGTGTGTCATAATATTTTGGTTGGATGTCAGTGTGTTTCATAATATCATTGGTTGGATGTCAGTGTGTGTCATAATATCATTGGTTGGATGGCCATGTGTGTCATAATAGTATTGGTTAGATGGCCATGTGTGTTATAATATCATTGTTTGGATGGCCGTGTGTGTCATAATGTTATTGGTTGGATGGCCGTGTGTGTCATAATATTATTGGTTGGATGGCCGTGTGTATCATAATATTATTGATTGAATGGCCGTGTGTCATAATAGTATTGGTTGGATGGCCGTGTATCATAATATTATTGGATTGGCCGTGTGTATCATAATATTATTGATTGGATGGCCGTGTGTGTCATAATGTTATTGGTTGGATGGCCGTGTGTGTCATAATATTATTGGTTGGATGGCCGTGTGTGTCATAATGTTATTGGTTGGATGGCCGTGTGTGTCATAATATTATTGGTTGGATGGCCGTGTGTATCATAATATTATTGATTGGATGGCCGTGTGTGTCATAATAGTATTGGTTGGATAGCCGTGTGTGTCATAATAGTATTGGTTGGATGGCAGTGTCTGTCATAATGTTATTGGTTGGATTGCCGTGTGTGTCATAATATTAGTGGTTGGATGTCAGTGTTTGTCATAATATTATTGATTGGATGGCCGTGTGTGTCATAATGTTATTGGTTGGATCACCGTGTGTGTCATAATATTATTGGTTGGATGGCCATTTGTGTCATGATATTATTGGTTGTTAATTGAGGGAATCCACTTCCAGTCATTTTATAGAATAGGATAATAAAGGATAGGCTACAACTGTGCTAGATATTCTCTAAACGTCAAGTCATACAACGCCGTTCCTGGACAAGAACATTACTGACAACCATGTAAGACGATTCAGGAACTGCGAGTGTCGAATGAGCTTCTGTTTGTAGTCGATCAGGCGCAGACAGGACTGAATTGTGACTATCGCCACTTTCAAGGGTTTCTTCCTTTCTCGCTCTATCGCTTTCTCATGTTTTAGGTCTTTCTCGCGCAATGATATCGCTCTGTAGTTCGCGTTAGCGCTTTCTCGCTACCGTATTTAATGCGAGCAAGCGATGGCCCTTCTCAGCCACCATACTCAGGCGTATTGAGTAGTGAGCACCTGGCGATGGAAAATGTGTCGTCATTGATAGGGGACCAATGCAAGCAGACTCTTTGTCTTGAAATCGACACCACTGTTACATGTAGTCCATAGTGGTGTGAACAGGCTCCACAAGTACAGAAGTCTCCACAAATACAGAAACGCTGCTCTCTACAGACAGGCTCCAGTGTTACAGACAGGCTCCACTCTACAACCAGGCTCCACTGTTAGAAGTACCATGAAAGCGTGTTGGGTGTCCAAATACTATCGACGTGAGTTGACAACACATATTGATCATAACTAAAGTAGTATGTGATACAACTTAGGATTGACTATATTCAAATCAGGTAGAAGTGTAGTTGGAGATCCTTACTTTACATCTGTTGCCTTCATGAAGTTACTATAAAACTTAACATTCATTGCTCTTCGTGAAGTTGCTTTAAAGTTTAACAGTCATTGCCTTCGTGAAGTTGCTTGAAAGTTTTACATTCATAGCCTTTCGTGAAGTTACGTTAAAGTTTTACATTCATTGCCTTCGTGAAGTTACTTTAAAGTTTTACATTCATTGCCTTTCGTGAAGTTACTTTAATGTTTTACATGCATTACCCTTCATTATCTTATCTGGCAGGTAGGATATATGTGCTGTATACATGTAGGGCGAATGATGTTTGGAATGATCTCCCTAGGCATCAGATGTCTATGGATGGAACATGAACACGTAGAGACGGCGTCACGTAGTATGTAGTAATATTGAGTGACATAAGTCAATCATCTCCACAAACAAAGCTTTGGCATCCTCAGTCTCCGCTTGTATTCAGTTTGTGGTTAATGATGGATGTGTCAGTAGAGGAGGTTGTAGGTTTATCGTCCTGTGGGCTCGGGGTACTCAGGCTCTACATGAACCTTATAGCAGCCTGAACCGACAGTGCGGGTCAGACTTCTCTGTACCGTCAACATACCATTGCCACAGTAACTAACAATCAGCTGTTTGCACATTTCTCACAACTCCACATGTGATTCGTAAAAAACATACCAAATAATATAACATAAAACAAATTAGGTGCAATGATTTAACGAAAATGACATGTCATCAGAAATTATATACCCCAATATCCAATTATTTTAGCTGCAACTTACGAAATAAATTCACAAAACGGAACCACTGATTGCCGTATATTCTTGACATCCTCAGCGGCAGACTTTATAGAGTTAAGATAAACCATGGATGATCAGAAGGAGTAGTAACTGTTGTATTGATGCAGTTTGTCGTTGTTCTGTATACATTCAGTGAACATCATTGCTACAAAACAATACACCTACCCTGTGTACACATCATGGTAAGTAGATCTGTGCAGTATAGAAGAGAAACAATCTACTCTGCAGGAAGGTGTTCAGGTCGACTTGTCCGGGTTCAGGTGTTAATAAAGTAGTTGTGTTTCTCTATATGTCAATCACACACTTTTCACAATGAAAGACATATATAATCACAAGATATTGCATGGGTTAATCAGATTAGTTACCAGGTATACTGGTATGCTTGCGGACAGAATAGTTACCAGGTACACCGTTATGTTGGCAGACAGATTAGTTACCAGGTACACCGGTATGCTGGCAGACAGATTAGTTACCAGGTACACCGGTATGCTGGCAGACAGTTTAGTTACCAGGTACACCGGTATGCTGGCAGACAGAATAGTTACCAGGTACACCGGTATGCTTGAAGACAGAATAGTTACCAGGTACACCGTTATGGTGGCAGACAGTTTAGTTACCAGGTACACCAGTATGTTGGTAGACAGATTAGTTACCAGGTACACCGGTATGCTTGAAGACAGATTAGTTACCAGGTACACCGTTATGCTGGCAGACAGTTTAGTTACCAGGTACACCAGTATGTTGGTAGACAGATTAGTTACCAGGTACACCGTTATGCTGGCAGACAGATTAGTTACCAGGTACACCGGTATGCTGGCAGACAGTTTAGTTACCAGGTACAGCGGTATGCTTGCAGACAGATTAGTTACCAGGTACACCGGTATGCTTGCAGACAGATTAGTTACCAGGTACACCGGTATGCTTGAAGACAGAATAGTTACCAGGTACACCGTTATGCTGGCAGACAGTTTAGTTACCAGGTACACCAGTATGTTGGTAGACAGATTAGTTACCAGGTACACCGGTATGCTTGCAGACAGATTAGTTACCAGGTACACCGTTATGCTGGCAGACAGA